ACATAGGAAACTGACTTCTCAAATAATATTATAGAGATTTCTTATGCTCTAACTCTGACTAGTTATACACTGAGGACAGTGTATGATTTAAGTCTGGGGGAGTGGATTACTGATGCTACTTTACCTTTTTGATCTTATTAAAAAGTTTTCAAACTTGGTTTAATTGAGTCAAGAAATGGACAAAAAGATTTCAATTTTTTTTGCTTTTTATCTTACCACTCTTTAGCACCATTCTTAGAATTGTTGATTGCAGAAAGTACTATAGATGCTAAAGTGGATCACCGATCATCCTATGACAACACTTTTCATGATTGTTTGGAAGAAGCAAAGCTGATTTCCAACCTAACTTGACATCTATTGCTTGTCTTGGGGCTTGGTATACAAAGGATCAGAATCCTCATGCAAGTCTGGAAGTCTCAATAATTTTGGTTTCTTTCTCTCCTTCCTTTGGCATCCCATAAAGAGAAAAATAAAAGATTGAGATGATTTCCTGAGAGGCAGAGGGAGAGGTACATTACCCATGACCCCACTATTCTAAATCAAAGGAATGATCACACATTGTGGAAGCGAGGGAGAGGTAAATTACCTGTGACCCCACTATTCGCCTACACTTTGTCAAAAAGCTACAAAAAGTAGAAAGATCAATAACATGAACATATGATGTTCATTGGGATTGATATTAAAGAAAAAGAAAAATTTGGATTCAGAGAAGGGAGATAAAGGGAGAAAAGGAACCAGGATGCGAATGCCTGAAACTTGCTTGAGTTAAATCCAAGTGTTCTTTGATCGATACTCCCAAGGTAAAACCTACACCTTTATTTTATGCATAAATGAAATCAGTAGAAGGGATAGACAGACAGGATTGTTTAAGTTGATTGGCTAGATGAATTTGGTTGCTAAACTAGGATATGATATAATGTGCTTCTGTAGTTAGTAATATGAGATGTGGTTTGCAACAAAGTAGAGGTGATGATTTTAAAGTTAAGATTTTATTGAGTCCCTGCTGTTTTTAAACTTCTTCCAAAAGACTAACTAATGGTTTGCTTGAGGACAAGCAAAAGGTTAAGTCTGGGGGAGTTGATATACCATGGTTTTGACCCACTTTTAGCCATGGTATTGATATGTTTTTATAATATATATATATATATATGTTTTGGAATCTATTAGGTATGTTTTCAGGTTCAGTAGCATTTTGGAGTAAAGTGATGGTTTAGGTGCCCTTATGGAGCTTAAAGGAGAGTTTTCTGAGATGACTATGAAGATCAAACAATAAGGTCGATATCCAGATATACATATCGATCGATACACATCCTGTGTAATCGATCGATGACGCTTCCATAGAAGATGAAGTCGAGATACTCTTTTGATCGATGTACGCCATGTACCATCGATCGATATGAAGCGTGAAGAACAAGTCTAACTTGGCCGACTTGAAGCCAAAGTTTTCCCAATATTACAAGATTGCCCCTGAAGAGTTTTTAACCTAATGGAATTCATATTTATAGTTATGCCTATGTGTTTTGGCAAAGCATGCTCTTTATGTTTTGTGTACTTTTATGTTTTGAATACCTTTTGTTACTTCTTAAGCTTTGCATGTTTTTAATTGAAGTATTATTTTCATCTTAATTCTCAAAGGTTATATAATTCTAGTTTTAGAAGAAACACACAAAGAGATTTGTTGTTCCAAAGAACCATGAGTTCAATCTTCTAATCTTATGAATTTCTATTATTACCTTGCTGCTATGAATCACTTAGCCATGTCTGAGTAGATTCACTTGTTAGATTTAGGGTTCAAATAGTTATGAGGGATTAGCCCCAACTATGGAATGTCAAGATGTGATATTCATTATCCAGATGAACCCTAATGCTTACTCTAGAGTAGCTAACTAGAGTATGATCATGGAATGATTTAACTTGTTAATCATCATCCTGAAATCATTTGGCATAAGCTTAGATCCTCTAGGGATACGCGAGAGCCGGTCTATGATCTTGGTGAACACAGTTTCGATTCGATCTTATGTTATACCGATCGATACTTCTATAGAGTAATCGATCGACGGCAACCTATATCGCCCGATCTGGCAATCATACCATCGGTCGATATTGCTGGCAGTAAGATCAATGGATGAGTCTATATAGCGACAAATATTAGATCTGTCTAAGAATCGAAGTTCTTATATACCTTGCAAGCAACTTACTAAAACATCTGTAGCATTATAATCCTGATTATCTGAATAGCAACCTTGAATCTAACTACTTTCTTTTATTGTTTCAAACCTAAACATATTCTTTTGAGCAACTTATCATTGCTCACAACTGAAATTTACTATTTTAAACTGGATCAACCTAGCATAATCACTTAGGATTACTTCTTTTGTGTTCCTCAGTTCCCTGTGGATTCGATCACTAAGTACTACAACTGAACCTCTTATTTGAGAGAGTAATTCACTCCTTAGGGTTAAATATTTGAGTGATATCATTTGACCATCTCCAAGCTCTTGCAAACCCAAACTTAGAACTTCTAGGTTTGTTTCTCATTTATGTTTCCTAACTTATATTTTTAATTATTTTATTTGATTTTGTAATGATATCTGAAACTGTTCATCACATGGCCGAAGTTGTTGCGCAAATTCGAGTTATGGTCCATTTCATCATTGAACCGTAAGTCTACATAACTCTAATTTTTACAAATTGTTTACACTTGCCATCCTTATCGTAATAATTTTATAAAAATCACATAACAAGACAGTGATGGTGTAGTTGACTTTATGGGACGATGTTGCAGCAATGTTTTGGAGTTTCATCAGTAGAAGTGATAGAGCCCAATCTTTCATGGTGGTAACTATTGTCAAGTCCAAAATATTTGGAAGTATGTTATATCTGTAAACTTATACCATATTTACTGTGGTTTTTTCAAAGTATATATTTTTGGAATTAAAATGATGCTACATCTCATTATCTACCAAACTCTTTATTTACACATGTAACTTGTACCTCAAATCTACCGACACTAACCTCCCAGGCATCACAGAGTTCACATCCAGGTAGCAACTCAATATGTAATGTGATGGAACCAAAATTTAATCGTATACTGACTTATCTAATGATACCATATGCTTCCAACTTAGGAGGGCTAGTAGGAGAAGCTTTCACCTGTATCAAAAATAAGGAAGAGATCAAGAAGAAGAACTTGTCTCAACTGGAGACCTAAACAAATTCATCTCAAACTCTGATGAGCAGGTAAATTTATGGTTCCAATAAAGTTTTAAAATATGTTTGAGGCTTGTAATATTAAATAGCTAATCTATTGTCTCGGTGAAGAGACGTGAAGTTGATTTTATTTGCAAGGCTAAGATTGTTGTGGTCCTGCAACAAAATAGCTGGTCCATTGTCTCTTGTACTGGATGCAGTAAGAGGTTAAACAAATCTGGTACTTCTCTTCGTTGCAACTGATGTGTTAATCCCAACATCACCAGTGCTATAAAGTAAGAAATTATCATACAAACAATATATAAGATAAGACACTATTTCATTACAATCACTAATGTTAACGTTTATTACAGGTACCGGATTGAATTATCAGTTGTTGATTGATATCACTCAAATTACCCTAAGGAGTGAATTACTCTCTTAAATAAAAGGTTAAGCTATAGTACATAGGGAGCGAATCCACAAGGAGCTAGGGCACACAATAAATCTAAAAAGTTTATGATTAAGTTAGGCTAATAGTTGAAATAGTAAATTGCAATACATATAGTAAATAATAAATAGCAGTGTAGTAATCCTAATCGAGCAATGCAGTTGCTTTACTAAATTGATTGAGGGTTTGATGAAAGGATGGTTGCTAGACTTAGGGTTTTTATTCAGGTATGCACCTATAATCATATATGTGCTAAACAGTTGTATGCATGATATTAAAGAGCTCAACTACTTAATAACAAATTCATCAGCTTTCGCCTTTGGACTCACCTATTAACTAGATCTAATGACCCAAACAAGTGTGTTCGGTCAATAGCCGTGTCGATCGATTATTCTATAGGAATATCGATCGATACACATTTCACTTTGTCGATCGATTCAACTTTCAGGATATCGATCGACACACCTCTAGTTAAGCTTTTTGCGCAGGTTGAACAATGCTCACTTAGGTTCCTAGAACAAGCTCTCACTATATTTCTAACAAATGTTAGCTTAACATAATAGATCCAGAACAATATCTCTAGAAAATCCTTAGATCAGGTTTCTAGGTAGCAATTCTAGAACAAAAGCATTAAGAACATCCTATTAATGAATATCACAACTAGCAATCCTATAGTTGGGGCTAATTCTCTAACCTATTTAAACCCCAAACCTGACAAGTGGATCTATTCATAATGAAGTTTGTCACAAAAATCATATAAAGAATAGAAATAAAATATAAAATCAATAAAGAAAATAAAGGACTTCCAGGAAGACTCTGATGTAGTTCCTCATTTCTCTCCTAAAACTTAGAACAATGAAAAAAAGAAAGCTTAGCCGTCAACAATGGCTTACAAAACACATAAATGAGATTTCTGGTCGTCCAGGGGTATCTTGGTAATTTATGGTTTCTTCTGGGCTTAAGTCAGTCTTGAAATATACTCCATATCGATCGATACAAAGGGAGTTGCATCGATTGATTTTCCTTTAACTTCTCGACAGCTTCCTCTCACGAGGCAGACTGACAACTCTTCAGTAAAACATGCATAACTTCTGTTACAGAAATTGACTTTATAATATCATAATTTTGTTTCAAGAGAACGGCGATGAAAAAGGCGACTACGATGAGATTTTTCTTTCGGTTTCGATATTTAGATGATTATGGTTGTATCGGGGATTCAGTTTTAAGAGGAAAGTATTAGAGCTAAAGCCCAAGCAGCCAAGTGAAGTCCATTAGCCCATGTAACTAGGGTTTACCATATGAGTTCTCATATAAATAGTCATGCTATGTAATGAAAACTTCAACTTTGGAAAATCAATATCATTTCACAAATCTCTTGGTTCTTGGTGACAAACTCAATCTCTTCCCTTTTGTTTACTTTCATTTGCACAATAAAGCTCTATGAGCTATTAGTCTTTATCATTTCATTTATGTCTCAATAAGCTCTTTGAGCATTCAATCTCCTTTATCTGAGATTGTTTTCATGGTATCAGAGCTGCAGTCGATCAGGGATCTGCAGATTTTAATATTATTTCTTGCTTTCAAGCTTCTGCTTGTTTGTGTTGAAGAAGACTCGTGTCTTGCAATGAAAAAAAAAAGGCTTTGTCTGAGAAAGAAGAACGTATTACAAGACAAAGACTCTCCACGCTGTCTCTTTCTATCATAAAGCTCTGACTTGCAAAAGCTGTTAAATCGAAAACTGTCCACCTTGAGGTTGCTAATCTAAGCCACAAAAAAAATCACCACAGAGAAACAAGACTTGAGCTTCTCTGTCAACACTGAGCTGCGTCCAAAACAATCCCAAGTCATGTATTAAGGTGCTTCTTCATCACTATAGTCAAGGTATGTCTGGTTTCTCATCTGAAACAGAACAAAGAATATAACTTGAGAAGAACATTTTGCTGAGTGGTTTAGAATATTAGGCCAGTGTCGTTTGTTGGATTGAGTTTGGGTTTGGAACAGAAGCTATGATGAAATAGGCTGATTTGGGTTTGCTTCGTGTTGAATTGGATACAAGTCTCTGGCTTTAATGCTAATGCATACAAGCTGTTCGCTGAAATGCCAACAAGAAAGTCAGATTGTTTAAAAACAGAGTTTTGGTGGTATATTGATGAAAATCAGAGAGTTAGTAGGATGGTTTAGTAAGTGTGGAAGAAGAGTTTTGGATTATTTATGAGACATAGTAAGAAATAGGTAAAGGAAGCCTAGGTTCATAGTGAGACATAAAGGTCACAATTATACCTCTGAGTGAGATCAACTAAGCTCTCCAAGTTCAAGAGAAACCTCTGAGTGAAGCCATGTGATACTCTCCAAGTATAGGTCTTAATAGATCTCACACTTAGTTTGTTTTCCATGAAGAACAAGATTCATTTGCCTACACCAAAAGCCTCCTACTTCAACTACTCTTCCTCATCTCAAGTTATCTTCATCTGTATTTTTCAAACTTAGCGTCAGCTGCTCCATCCACGCTAAGTTTGCGGGGGAGTATTAGAGTTAAAGCCCAAGCAGCCAAGTGAAGTCCATTAGCCCATGTAACTAGGGTTTACCATATGAGTTCTCATATAAATAGTCATGTAATGAAAACTTCAACTTTGGAAAATCAATATCATTTCACAAATCTCTTGGTTCTTGGTGACAAACTCAATCTCTTCCCTTTTGTTTACTTTCATTTGCACAATAAAGCTCTATGAGCTATTAGTCTTTATCATTTCATTTATGTCTCAATAAGCTCTTTGAGCATTCAATCTCCTTTATCTGAGATTGTTTTCAAATAGAAAGGATACGCTTTCCGATTTGATTTTCAGGGATCGAATGGATCTGTGGGTAAAGATGAGCAATAATGGAAATCTGATGGTGATCTCTCTTTTGGAAGTTTCTGATTCGAAAGAGAAGTTTGGTTTCCAATCTAAAACAAGGTATGCTTTGTCTTATGGCTCTCACTTGCACGGTTCATTTTGGATTTTGATTTTATCGGAGATTACGGTAATTTTTGATTTTGGTGACGATGGAGAAAGGAAGTTTAGATCTCGGGTCCTCTCTCGTAATAGAAATATGGAAAGTCAATATTATGTATTGAGAGGTGATATAACTAAATGGTGGAATTCAAAGATTTTTCCATATAATATCTTGGAAGATTGGTTTGGGTTAAAATCATGGATTGAGTATCTTAGGAATATCTTGATTGATTGGTTTTCGAGATAAGATCTATATCTGCTTTATATAAGGAACAGTTGGAAGCCTTTTAGTTGGCAACGACAAAAGAGTTTTAGTTGTGGAGTTGTAGGATCACTTTGTTTACACATTATTACCATTGTCCCATTTTTATGGATTGAGTGTGAAGGTGTTTTCGATAGGAATGTAATATGGTTTTCTGCCTCATGGTCACGATTTTGTTCTTTATTAGTTTTGGAAAACTATACACTAACAGATGGGGAACCAAGTGGTTTGTTTCTTATTCTCAAGTTATTGTTTTGGCTTCGAAATACTATTAATAGGTATGATTACCAGGAAGTGATAGCGAGCCAGGTTATGGCTTTAATAGCTATATATTGGTTCGTAAGTTTTGGAAGAGTTACTGGTTTACTAGGAACACGAGAACAGCGGTGCTGTTCCTTTATGTGGAGTTTTTCACAGGCGATATTATCATTCCGGGGTATATGGCTGGACTTACACCAACATTATGTTTATGAGTCTTTTACATCTTTTAGTGGTTTCAAAGTAATCTTTGTTTTTCTCTGGTTTGACACAGGACTCGGGTACTGGGAAGAATTCACCAGATCGAGTCTTCGTGATTATGTTAAGAGAGGAAGAACTTTTGTTACTTTAAATGGTAATTATTTTTATGAGCAAGGTGAGATCATGGATGGTGTTTTGAGTTCGGCTTGTGACGGAATTCTAATAAGGATTATGATTTCTAATATGATAATGAGTTGGCTAATGGACTGTGGTGGGCTACAAGCCGGTATTGTTATAAGCCATGGATTTAATAATCAGGGGTTCAAAGTTCAACGATGTCAACACAAAGTTTGTCACAGATTTTTTTGGGATGTATATATTATTCGTGTATATGGGGCGTTACTTTTGTTTAGTCAATCTATGTATTTTAAATGGCATGTCTGTGTTTTTCTTTAGGATGTTTGTGATTGAAACATTAGTATTTGTAATGTTGATACACTGTGAGTATGGGTCTTTCATGTGGTTTAGGGGCTGTAATGTGTTTTATGACACACCGAATATAAGGGCTTCACCGAGTCCCCTCATAAACAATAACTTTAATGAGTATTTTAAGTTGGAATTGTAGAGATGCAGGTAGTTCGGATACAATTCAACGTATCCGTGATTTACGTCGTCAGTATTTTTCGGATTTTCTGTTTCTCATGGAAACAAAAATTTGCTTACATGGATAGTTTAAAATCAAGTTTGGGATATGATTTTTTACACACGGTTGAACCCAATGGACGAAGTGGTGGATTAGCCTTAATGTGGAAAGGTTGTTATGCAGTTGAAATTCTCAATAGCGATAATAGAATTATTGATCTTAAAGTCACAATGGGATCTCTTAATTTTTTCCTTTCATGTGTATATGGAGACCCTGTTAGAGCAAAGAGACAATATTTTTGGGATAGATTAATGGATATAGGTGTGATTAGACATGAGGTTTGGCTTTTGGTTGGTGATTTCAATGAACTAATGCACAATGGTGAAAAATTGGGAGGAGTTATTAGAGATGATAACACTTTTTTTGATTTTCGAAACATGCTGGAAGCATGTAAAATCAGAACGATGAGGAGTACAGGAAATACCCTTTCATGGGTTGGAATGAGGGATCATAACTGGGTACAATGTCGACTTGATAGAAGTTTGGGTAATGATGAATGGTTTAGACTCTTTCCACAATTGTCTACTGATTATATGAGTATGTGGCCTTCTGATCATAGACCCCTACGCATTGAGTTCGCCCTAGAACCTGAAAATTTACATCGGGGAAGATTTTATTTTGATAAACGGATGTATGGAAAGAGAGGGGTCGAGGAGGCCATTGTTCGCGGATGGGATACAAAAAATATTAACTCAAATCTAAGTGTCCTTGATCGGATTGCTAGATGTCGGTCGGAACTATCCAAGCTTAAAAAGACAAGTGATTGGAATTCAAAAACAAGAATAGAACGGCTACAGATTGATTTGGATAAAGAGAGCTCTAAGCAATTTCCCATTTATAGTATGGTAAGGAGGTTAAGACAGGAATTGGCTACAGCATATAGGGAAGAAGAGATCTTTTGGAGGCAAAGAAGTAGAGAGGAATGGTTACGAGAAGGGGATAGAAATACTACTTACTTTCATAACGTGGTTAAAGGGAAAAAGATGAGGAATAAAATCTTAATGCTTAAAGATATTTTTGGCAATGAACAATATTCTGAAGGGTGGAAAGGGCATATTGCCACTGAATATTTCAGAGATTTGTTTACAAGTTCAAACCCAAGAGAATTGGAAACTTTGTTTGAAGGTTTTGATACTAGGGTTATCTCAGAAATGAACACAGTGTTAACCAAAGAGATTTTATCAGACGAAATAAAAAAGCAGCTTTTGGGATTAAGAGTAGTAGTGCCCTGGAGAAGATGGACTTACTGGTTATTTTTACCAGAAATATTGGCATATTGTCGGACAGAAAATTATAGATGATGTTCAGGGATTTTTTAAAACAGCCATCCACCCTGCTGGATGGAATCATACACAATTGTTCTTGTTACCAAAAATTTTACAGCCTACGGAGATGAAGGACATGCGTCCCATTAGTCTTTTCACTATCCAATACAAAATCATTTCCCGCATTCTTTGTGATCGGATGAAATCGATTTTGCCTAATATAATTTCGGAAACTTAAGGTGCCTTTGTTGGAGGCAGGTTAATTACAGACAATGTCATTATAGCACATGAATTGGTTCACGGCCTCCGCACTAATGACAAAATTGGTAGAGAAAGTATGGCTATTAAAACGGATATGTCAAAAGCCTATGATCGGGTTGAATGGAATTTTCTTGAAGTGCTACTTGAAAAACTAGGATTTGAAAGGAAATGGATCGTTTGGATTATGACTTGCATTTCCACGGTCACTTTTTCTGTGTTACTAAATGGACGTTCTCATGGATTTATTAAACCTAAAAGAGGTTTACGTCAGGGTGACCCTCTATCTCCTTTTTTGTTCATCTTATGTGCTGAAGCTCTAGTCCATGTTTTAAACAGAGCTGAAGCACAAGGTATATTACATGGTATAAAACTAGCTAAAGATAGCCCTTCTGTTCATCATTTGTTATTTGTGGATGACAGCTTGTTGTTATGTGAAGCCTCTATTCAGGATAGTGTGGAAATTTTGGATTGTTTGAAAATTTATGGAGAGGCATCTGGGCAAATGATCAATCATTTGAAGTCTTCCATCATCTTTGGGAAAAATGTAACCGATGATACTAAACAATCTATAAAGAGTTTTTTGGGCATCGACAAGGAAGGTGGTGAAGGATCATATCTCGATCTCCCTGAATGTTTTCAGGGATCAAAAAAAGATCTTTTAAATTCTATTAAAGAGAAATTAGAAGGCAGATTACAGGGCTGGTATTCCAAAACATCGTCAATGGGAGCAAAGGAAGTTTTAATAAAATCGGTTGCTCTAGCTCTCCCAATATATGCAATGTCTGTTTTCCGGTTACCAAAAGGGCTTTGTGAACGAATTACGAGTGCGATTATTGAGTTTTGGTGGAGTAGCGGGGATAAAAAAAAAAGAAAAATCCCCTGGGTTTCATGGGAAAAACTGTGTAAACCCAAAGAACAGGGGGTATGGGGCAGGGTTTCATGACATTGGTCGTTTTAATCAGGCTTTACTCGGAAAACAAGCTTGGCGAATCTTGAATAATCCTGATTCCTTGGTCTCACGTATTCTTAAAGGTAAATATTTTAAAAATGGTGATTTTCTGGATTGTGGTATGGGAACACGTCCGTCTTATGCATGGCGGAGTATCATGCATGGTAGAGAGTTACTTAAAAAAGGTTTGTATCGTCACATTGGCAACGGTGTTACTACCAATGTTTGGGCTGAAAACTGGATTATTGATATTATTCCTCGACCACCTATGTACCGGGAAAATAGCACCATTGATCTAACGCTGAAAGTTTCAGACTTATTCTTAGAGGGGTGTGGGAACCGAAATCCACACTGTCGATTTTCCGTCAAATATAGAAACTTAGGATGAAACCCTAATTTTCCCGAGGTCCTGGATCTCTGCGAAAATCACTAAAACAAACGAATTCAAGAGAATATGGATGAACAATAAAGAATAGAGAGTAAGAACTTGTGCGAAAACTTTTATTAAATTAGAATCGACAACTGTTACAAGAAGAATTGAAGAACTAAGACGTCGAAACGTTCTAAGGATCTGAATTTCTAGTCTTAACGCTAAGTCCTAAATTCCTAAGCTAACAGCCGTCTTTTTAGGTCTAACTTTCGTCCTCCTCTTCTGCCCTACGCCTCTGGTTTATATACTCCTTGCCTTGACGGTTCGATCTTCCCATTTCGCCCAGATTTGAGTATTTCGGGAATCTTCCATTTTTCTCGATCCTTCCTTTTCTTCTGCGGAAATCTTCTATTTATCTTCAAACTTGCCTTTTATTTTCCTTCTGTGAATAAACCGTCAAAACGTTATTGAATCTTCGGGTTAGATTCCGTTAAGATTGCGAGATGGGTTTTTATCGCGTTTTAGGTCCTTCCGAGCTGTTTTGCGATAAATCCGTTTTCCGACTTTTTACGGGATCGTTTCCTGATCTGACATCATTTTTAATAAATTCCTCGAGTTAATCGTAAAGTCTTACGATTTACTCAACTTTTTATTAAAATACCTTTTTTACGATTTACACGACGTTTATCATAAAAAAAAAACGCGTTTTTTATGATTTCTACGAGAAATCTCGACTAAATCGTATAGTTTAGGCAATGTTCGGTGTTTCATTTAACCGTTGTCGTTTTATACGATTTCTTCGAGTTCTTTATCGAGAAAGCGAAGTTTTACGGTTTTTATCGTAAAACTTGAATGATAGGTCGGATCGAGATGGAACGGGAGACGTTTCGGCCATGGTTCAGAATGAGACCGTGTCGAAAGACGTAAGTTTTGAATCGGGGATGCGGGAGATCGAGGCGCGGGATATCCGAGAAGTCTTTAGTTCGCCCATCGGCGAACTAGTTGAGTGACTCTTAGTTCGCCCATCGGCGAACTAGTCGTGACTAGTTCGCGTTTTACGGCTGTTTCGGTTTTTTGAGGTTTCGTAAAACGATTCTTCGAGTTTTATAAAACGTTTCTTCGAGTTTTATAAAACGATTCTCGAGTTTTATAAAACGATTCTTCGAGTTTTATAAAACGATTCTCGAGTTTTATAAAATGATTCTTCGAGTTTTATAAAACGATTCTCGAGTTTTATAAAACGATTCTTCGAGTTTTATAAAACGATTCTCGAGTTTTATAAAACGATTCTTCGAGTTTTATAAAACGATTCTCGAGTTTTATAAAACGATTCTCGAGTTTTATAAAACGATTCTTCGAGTTTTATAAAACGTTTCTTCGAGTTTTATAAAACGATTCTCGAGTTTTATAAAACGATTCTTCGAGTTTTATAAAACGATTCTTCGAGTTTTATAAAACGATTCTCGAGTTTTATAAAACGATTCTTCTAGTTTTACAAAACGATTCTCGAGTTTTATAAAACGATTCTTCGAGTTTTATAAAACGATTCTCGAGTTTTATAAAACGATTCTTCGAGTTTTATAAAACGATTCTCGAGTTTTATAAAACGATTCTCCAGTTTTATAAAACGATTCTTCGAGTTTTATAAAACGATTCTCGAGTTTTATAAAACGATCTCTGAGTTTTATAAAATTAATTTTGCGGAAAGTAATGATCCCCTTTTTACAGAAGTTATCGCAGACGTTGATTTCGAGATTACGATTTTTGACACCAACAGTTAGCCCCCCAGTCCGCAATTTCTTAAGGAAATTTTGCGGTCGGATGGAGTTAGATTTTAATCGGAATCTACGGCTGAGATTCGTCTTATTACGAGGGAGAGCTCTCCTTTTTCTATAAGTATTGGATCATTACTTCTCATATCTTCCACCTTTCAAGTTTCTCTCCAACTTCTCTCTAGAAAAATTCTTAAGATGTCTTCTTCCCNATTCGTCTTATTACGAGGGAGAGCTCTCCTTTTTCTATAAGT